GCTGCTGCTGCTGCTGCTGCTGCTGTCCGCGCTGCTGCTGCTGCTGCTGCTGCCGCCGCTGCTCCCGCCAGGGCAGCTGTCTTTGCCGCTGCCCGTGCTGCTGCTGCTCGCGCTGCTCTCCTTGCCGCCGCCGCCGCCGCTGCTGCTGCTGCTGCTGCTGCTCTCGCTGCTGCTGCTGCTGCTGCTGCCCGGGACCTCAAAGTAGCAGCGGGGAAGCGAAAGAGCAGCATCGAGGTCAGCCCCGGGAAGGGCCAGGCCTGTGGCTTGGGAGCCGAAGAAGCAGCAGCTGCTGCCAGGAAGTGCTGCTGCTGCTGCTAGCTGCAGCCGTGCTGCTGCGCGCAGCCGCTGCTGCTGCTCCACCGCGCTCGGCTGCAGCAGCTGCAGCAGCTCGTACAGCTCCAGGTGCAGCGCCGTGTAAAAGCACCGCGGCGGACCCTGCTGCTGCTGCTGCTGCTGCTGCTGTTGCTGTTGCTGCTGTTGCTGCGGTTGCTGCTGCTGCTGCTGCTGCTGCTGTTGCTGCTGCTGCTGCTGCTGCTGCTGCTTCCATGGGGGAACAGAGGCGGACGCAGCAGCACTAGCAGCAGCAGCAGCAGCAGCAGCAAAGCCTCGCTTCTGCCGCTTCTCTTCGCGCTCCACCTTAGGGGCAGAAAAGTCCGACACAGAGAGCCATGCGTCCGCTGCTCCTTCTGCTGCTGCTGTTTCTGCTGTTTCTGTTGTTGCTGCTGTTGCTGCTGTTGCTGCTGCTGCTGCTGCTGCTGGAGCAGCTGCCCTTGCTTGGGAACGGGAAGCCAGCGAACGCTGCGGACGCAGCAGCAAATGGTGAAGGCAGCAGCAACGTAGACCCAGCAGCAAAAACTGCGACTCCATCGGCAGCAGCAGCAGCAGCAGCAGCAGCAGCAAATTCTCACCTTAACATTCTTGGTGAAGTTAGTTGGCCGCTGCGGGGTATAGGAAGCATCCAGCAAATATGCTTCAGGGCCCAGGGCCTGCAGCTGCTCACTTATCTCCCAGGACTTCACGTCCTTGCTGCTGCTGCTGCTGTTGCTGCTGCTGGTGCTGCTGCTGGTGCTGCTGCTGGTGCTGCTGCTGGTGCTGCTGCTGCTGCAGTCGCTGCTGCTGCTGCTGGCGCTCGTGGTGCCGCTGCCGTTGCTGCTGCTTGTGTTGGCGTTGGTGCAGTCGCTGCTGCTGGTGTTGCTGCAGTCGCTGCTGTTGGTGTCCCCGCTGTTGCTGCTGCTGCTGTTGCTGCTGTTGCTGTTGCTGCTGTTGCTCTTGCTGCTGCTGCCGTTGTTGCTGCTGCTATTTGGGGACCCGGTGGGCGAAGAGCCCGCGAACGCGGTACTGCTCATCTCTTCTGCCGTTTTGCTGCTGCTGCTGTTCGCAGCAGCAGCATCGACGCTGCTGCTCATGGGGGCTTCTCGTGCTGCTGCTCTTGTGGAGCAGCAGCTGTTGCTGCTCTTGCTGCTGTCCCTGCCGCTCTTGCTGCGCCTAGTTGCTGCTGCAGCTGCTGCTGCTCGAGTTGGTCCTGTATCTGGCGCAGAAGTCAGCGCTGGTCCTCTGTGTTTGGTGGGAGCAGCAGCAGCCGTCGTTGCTGCTGTTGCTGCTGCTGCTGCTGCGCTCTTTTCACTGCAGCAGTAGGAGTCTTCAGTGTATAAAGCGTGTGTTACGCTGTCAGCTCTGCCGCTGCTGCAACAGCGGCAGCTGCTGCATCTGCTGCAGCAGCAGCTGCTGCTGCTGTTGCTGCTGTCTTAAGTGGCTGCAGCGCAGCAGCGGGTCTCCTGGGAACCCCAAAAAAGCAGCAGCAAAAAACTAGGGGCTAATTTAATTAAAAAACAAATTTAAAAACTAAATTAATTAGTTTGTTTGCCCTTCCTGCTAACGCATGCACGCCTTGTGCGCTGCTGCTGCTGCTGCTGCTGCAGCTGCTGCAGCTGCTGCTGCTGGCTGCATGCAGCAGCAGAGTACCATTTCGGAGACTCTTCTGCTGCTGTCTCCGCTGCTACTAATTTGGCTACGGGAGACAAAGAAGACTAATGCTGGATGCAGGTTTAGGGTTTAGGGTTTAGCGCTTAGGGGTTAGGGTTTAGGTTTAGGGTTCAGGGTTTAGGGTTTAGGGTTTACCGTCGCCGCAGGAAGGCCGCAGTGCAGCAGCAAAGAAGCAAAAGAGACGAAAAAGAATTTCTTTTTTTTAAATTTATATCAGCAAAGAAGAAAAGAAATAAAAGAAAGCGGAAAGATAAAAAGACTAAAAGTGACGAAAAAGAAAACAGATTTCAAAAAGAAATAAGTATAAACAAAAAGATATTTTGAAGACAAAAATAAATTGAATAAATAAAAAAGATAAAAAGGTAAAAAGATAAAAAACACTTTTGCAGACAGGCAGCAGCTAGGAGCGCATGCAGCAAGCCGCAGACGCCGGCAGCAGCAAGATGCTGCAGCTGCAGCAGCAGCAGCAGCAGC